GCGCCCGCCCGCCCGCAGCGCCGAGCACCGCGCTCCGCAGCCTCCGCCGGCCCCCGCCGCTCGTCCCTCCGCCGCCCGGGGCCTTTCCTGCACTTGGGGGGTTTTCCCAGGAGGTTTCACCACTAGGATCTCGGGCGGGATTCACGAGGATCTTGCAGTGTTTCCGGGGATATGGGCGGGGGGGGGTCCCCAGGATCTCAAGGTATTTCCTGGGATCTCTGGGTGTTTCACCGGGATCTCAGGGCATTTTGCCAGCATCTTGGGGCGTTTCACCGGGATCTCTGGGTATTTCTTGGGATCGCAGGGTATTTCCCCAGGATCAGGTGTTTCCCCAGGATTTCAGGAGGTTTCACCACCAGGATCTTGCATGGGTTTCACGAGGATCTTGGAGGGTTTCCTGGGATATGGGGGGGGGGTCCCCAGGATCTCAGGGTATTTCCTGGGCTCTGGGGGTGTTTCACCAGGATCTTGGGGCATTTCCTGGGATCTCAGGGTGTTTCACTGGGATCTTGCTAGGATCTTGGGGCGTTTCACCAGGATCAGGCATTTCCTGGGATCTCAGGGTGTTTCACCAGGATCTTGGGGCGTTTCCTGGGGGATCTCAAGGTGTTTCATGGGGATCTGAGGGCATTTTGCTAGGATCTTGGGGCTTTTCCTGGGATCTCAGGGTGTTTCACTGGGAGCATGTGGCATTTTGCCAGGATCTCGGGGCGTTTCACAGGCCTCCGGACCCTTCCCGGGTCGTGGGCAGAGCGAGGAGCCGGGAGCGTGGGGCTCGTCCCGTGCCCCAAACAGCTGGAGCTGCCGCTCCGCATGCAGGAGGGTCCCTGGTCCCTCGGGAGGCAGCCCTAGCCCCTGCAGCTCTGCCCCTGGCAAACCTGCTTCTAATTCCCAGCTGCGTGTCCGGGGGTCATCCAGTCCACCTCTTCCCTGATGCTTCCCACCCCGCCCCGGTCAGTGCATCAGCCTTCGCTTTGCCCTGCTAAGCGTGCACTGCTCTGTCAGTCCCTCCGTCCCCCTGACCCTTCAGCCCTTCTCTGCTCCTGCCCCAGCCTGCACACGTCCCCCTGGCACGCAGGGTCCAGCGCTGCACGCGGCTGTGCAAGGGCCTAGTTCCCTTCTCCACGCCGCATTGCTTTGCTGACTCGCGATCCCCTGGTCGTACTCCCAGGCCTTCCTCTGACTTGCTCCCGGCTCTTCCACCTCTGACCGAGAGCAGAAGTCCCCACAATTAGCCCCTGAGGACCTGCCCTTGCTCTCGGCCGGAGCAGAGCCAAGGGGGTGCACTTGCCCTGAGTGCCCTGTCGCGATGCTCGCGAAGGCCGGCTTTTCTTTTATGGATCTGAGAAAGAGCCTGTCCTTTTCGTTCTGCTGACAGCCGGCCTCACGAAACAGCAGCTCTCGAATATTTTTCATTTTTTTTTGTTTTGCCCAGTTGTGTCTTTATTTTATACGTGATATGATCGACCAAAGCAATGCACGATTTGACCAATTTATATTTGTTTTTGCTCCGTTCTGGACCTGAGGACTCTAGCCCTAGGCCCCTTGCTTATGTCTAAAATGTCTAGTTTCTTTTAAACTGCAGAAAAATCTGCATTGCGTTATAGGTGGGGATGCACCACACCACCTGCACCCCACTTTCAACATCCTAGATCCACCTGTGGCTCTTGGTACCACTGCATTGCAAATCCCTCGGCATCAGTTCTTCTTGGAGGACATGCCAGTCCTCTATCTTGACAGTGCCTCTGAAATCTCCAACTCCTTTAGCACGCTCCCACCTTTTAAACAGCTCTATAATGAAAATAAATCAGTCGGATCAGCCCAGGACCAATCCTTTACACCTCCCTCCCTTCGGCCAGGTACATTAAGAGCTCATCAAACTAATGTTCCTTGCAATCAATGGCTTTAAAATAGATGGGAGGATCTCATCTGTTATAGCAACGTGTTTCAAGGAAAGCAAGCTCGGAGCTGGCAGAGGTTTAGGATAAACTCCTGGAGAGATGAGAGTTGGAAAGGTTCATAGAGAGGATCCACCATTAAAGAGAATGATCAGAGTTTGCCTAAGTCTTGACCTACAAGTTTGCCCAGAGAAGGGTATCTCAGCAAATCCTGACCTATACTGCAGTAAATTAGAGGATCTAGCATCAAGGGCAGGTCTCCTCTCAACTTGGGGGGTGCACAAAGGACAGCAACGGGACCGTTTCTCCCTTGTTTCCCATACTTGCAATCGATGGGAGCATTTTGCATACACCGCAGGAAAGCAAGGCTGGAAGGGCCCTCCCAGGGTCGCGTGTAGTCCAGCCCTCTGATCAAGGCAGGAGCTTTCATCCCTGATGAGTGTCTGTCCAACCTGCTTTGAAAAATGTCCAAGAAGGGAGATTCTGCAAATTTGCTGGCCAGCCTTTTCCAATGCTTGACCCCCACCCCAAAGTCAGCACGTTCCTCCTCATCTCCAGCCTCAGTTTCCCCTGCTGCAGCTTGAGGCCGTTGCTCCTCATCCTGTCCCCTGCGGCCACAGAGCAAAGCCCATCTCCAGCCTCTCTGCCGTTGCCCTTCAGGGATTTGCAGACTGTGACCAAGCCCTACCTCTGTCTTCTCTTCTTGAAGCTAAATATGCCCTGCTCTTTCAGCTTCTGCTCGTTAGTCTTGCCTCCCAGGCCTCAAACCACTTCTGTCACTGTGCCCTGGACCCTTTCCATTCTCTCCACGTCCTTCCTGAACTGTGGGGCCCAGAACGGGACACAGCGATTCAGGGGAGGCCTCCTGACAGTGCCAACTGGGGCAGAAGAAACACTGCTCTTGATTTGCAAGTGATACCACACATGCCTGTCAATAATAACCAGTCTGCTGTTGGTTTTCTTTGCAACAAGAGCACCCTGTCGGCTCGGATTCAGTTTATGGCCTGTTCATTGTAACCCCCAGGTCCTTCCCGGCACGGGTGCAGCCCAGCCAGACACACCCCAGTCTGTACCTGTGCATGCAGTTTTGTCCCAGGTGCAGGACTTTGCACTTGACCTTGTTGACTCTCATCTGATGCACTGTGAGCCGTTTCTCCAGCTTACCCAGGTCATTCGGGATCCCAGCCCTGCCCCCCCAGAGTATCTGCAATTCCAGCCGTCTGCAAATTTGCTAAGCATGAATGCAATCCCATTATTGAAATCGAGGGCTGGAATGGACCTCGGGAGGTCACATGTAGTCCCACCCTCTGCTCCAAGCAGGACCAGCCCCAACTCCATCATCCCAGACAAGGCTTTGTTTACCCGGGTCTTCAACACCTCCAAGATTGGAGACTGCACCACCTCTGTGTGTTTCACCACCCTCCTCATGACAGTTTTTTCCTAATATCCAACCTCAACTTTCCTTGCTGCAGCTTGAGCCCATTGCCCCTTGTTGTGATGGGGGCTGTCTTAGGGCCAGTCACAGTACCAGCCCACTCACCTGTCTAGGGCAGTCCGCCCTGATTCACCCGCCATGCTTTGATATAGTAATACCAGATGGAAAAATGTGGGAAGCTGCCCATTTAATGCCCCGATGCCTAGGGCTCATTATACACAGCTCTGACCTCCCCTATACCGTGTCCCATGCCTCGCAGATGGCATCCAAAAATCTCTTCCATTATCACTCCCCCGGCCCCATGGCTGGCCTGGCCTCTGCAGCCCAAACCCCCTAACCCCTTTTGCAAGGCTGGCCTCGCTCTTCCCTAAGGCCAAGGCCTTCTCCCCAGGGCTTGGGCCCCACTGGGAGCCTCCTCCTTCCCCATAGTTCCTGCCCTAAACCTCCAGATGTTCCCGGGAGCAGCAGATGTCAAGCTGGAGATGTCAGTCCAGCAACATCCCTGCAGCATCTGCTGGCTCTGCCCCTCAGGGCTTGCTCTTATGTTCTCATCTGCTGCAATAAGATCCTCTTCAGGAGCTGTACTAGCCGTCACGGGGCGTGTAAGGAAAAGACCATTCTTTTGTTAGAGTGGTTTTGCAACCTGGATTAGCACCAAAGTTTCTCACAGAGCAGCGTGCACCATTTTTTTTCCCAACCCACACACAGATTCGCCTGTTTGTATTTACAGATATACCACAATTTGGAGGGTTCTTCCGTCACCTTCAGCCAATGCTACCTCCTAGGCATGGAGAAGTTATATCAGCAAATGCTACATGCCAGGCACGGAGAAGTTACGCCCTTCGTGTTTCCTTTTTTAGAAAAACCTCTGTGTGGAGAACAAAGGCGTCGCCGTCGGCTATTCGTTTTCTTTTGAAGTTGTAGGTAAAGGGCCCACAAAATCAATTTGCAAAGCAGAGCTCAACCTGAAACTGCGATCTGGAGGTGACAGCTTTGAGGCAATTGTCACGATACTTTTGCAGGTTTTTCTACCTGTGCGGGTGGAGGGGGGTGTAGTTTGTTCCCACAAGGGAAAGGCTGGTGGAGCAAGCGTCTTTGCACTAGATCAGCATGGTCCAGAATTGCTAAATCCGTATAAACCGTGCAGGCCGTGCCTGAGAGGCTGGACCCACTTCAATGCTCCCTGCTGTGTTTCCCAGTGATGGTAGAGGGGTCCCACCTGGCTTGTTGGAGCCCAGACCCTTCTCGTCTACGCTGCAATAGCCGAGCCTGCAGGCACCCTTGAGGGAGAGGTCTGCATTTCTGTTGCTGCATCTGGGCCTGGCCATGTCACGAGGACAGGTGGATGCTCCTGCCCCAGCCCGGGGGGTTTCTGTCGGGCTGCTGATCTCTCTCCTGGCTGTGATGTCTCAGGGCTGAGTCTTGGCTGGTTACAGCTCATGCCACGGTTTAAAATCCTGGATGAGTGAGAACAACCCATGCCTCCTCTTGCCCAAGGAGATACTCCCAGGCTGCTCAGATAGTTTCCTAGTAGCGAGGGTCAGGAGGGACCTGAACAGATCATGTAGCCTGACCCCCTGCCACAGGCAGGAATGAATGCTGGGTTCACAAGACCCCAGACAGGTGATCCTCCAACCTCCTCTTGAATTTGCCCAAGGTAGGGGTGAGGACCACTTCCCTGGGAAGTTGGTTCCAGATTTTGGCCACCCTAACTGTAAAATATTGACTTCTGATCTCCAACCTAAACCTGTTCTCCATCAGCTCATGACCATTGTTCCTTGTGACCCCAGGTGGTGCTGGGGAGAAAAGGGCTCTGCCTATTTGCTGTTGATTCCCCTTGATGAGCTTGTAGGCAGCCACCAGGTCCCCCCTCAGCCTCCTCTTGCTGAGGCTGAGCAGGTTCAGGTCCCTCAGTCTCTCCTCGTAGGGCCTGTCCTGCTGCCCTCTCACCATGCGGGTAGCCCTCCTCTGGACCCTCTCCAGGCTGGACACATCCCTCCTGAAGTGCGGTGCCCAGTACTGGACGCACTACTCCAACTGCGGCCTGACCAAGGTCGCATAGAGGGGGAGGATCACCTCTGGACCGACTTGAGATGCACCTTTGGATGCACGACAAGGTCTGGCTGGCCTTGCTGGCTGCGGTCTGGCATTGGCGGCTCACATTCATCTTAGAGTCAATAATGACTCTGAGATCCCTTTCCGGCTCTGTGCTTTCAAGAGGGGAGCTCCCCAGCCTGTATGTATGCTGTGGATCCCTTCTCCCAC